TCTAGTCCCTAGCCTCTTTTTTTTTTTTTTTTTTTTTTTTTTTTTTTTTTTCATATGAGATTTGCGCAGGGTGTAACATGGGTTGGGGATAGTTTTAAGGGCGAACAATGAATGAATAAGGCACGCACACGCCTCATAGTTCCTTGCGTCCCTTTTGTTCACCAGTCAAGACAAGGGAAACGTTACAGTGGGAACTAGGTTCAATAGGATTTTGTTCCTATAACTGTTGTCTGCATTGGATTTCTATCATCTGTGCGAAAATGAAACAGTCACATCCACACGGTTAGAGCCACTACTGTGGCCATGGCTCCCCCGCAAAGCACATAGAAGTTACGCGGTTGAAAAATCCAACTAGGGGACGACGACTACAAGGGAAAAGAAAATATGCCCACATGGTACATAACAGAGTGACTAGCGCAACGTGTCATCCCATGAAATAGAGACAGCTGAGCTTATCACCTTTTGTTGGTTCTTTACATTCTCGCACCTTGCGTGGGGGAAGTGCTCTTTCGATAATGTTAGACCAATTTGCTAGGTTGCGCGATTAAAAGGAAAAAAACAAGAACCCTGCAACGGGAACCATTAGTGGTAATATAAGTGGCTACCCATGACACTATTCTTTTTTTTTTCTGAAGATAAGCTAAACTGGTACGTTGTATGTGCACCATGTGGTCATGAGCTCGAGGGCAAAAGGGGGGTCATTATTTTTTTCTCAAAGCAAAAGCAGTATAAATTGCCGTACCATGTGGGGGAACAAGCGCATATAAAATTCATCGACACTTTTTGTTCGATGAATAGCACAAAATGGGCAAGGTAAAATTAAAAAAAAAAAAAAAAAAAAAAATGAAATTTATGGAGAACACTCCACCCGCGGTTTAAATGGCTTACCCTTCCGTTGGCACAAACGGCGCTGCCAAAAATTATTCCGTTCTTTTTTGTCAAGCGCGTACAACAAAGGAATCATTTTGCCCTTGTAATGGTAAAGTAGAACGCAACAGCAAAAGAGTAAAATAAATGCATTGCTGCACAGGGCCTTAACTGTAGTAAACACTGCGTCATGCATACCACGGGCGGCAAATAAGCTGCAACAGAATGCTCGGAAAACATAATAAAATAATATATACTATGGCATAGCAGAGCCAACTGATGAACGGACTTGGTTGGAGCGGTATCAACAGGACGTGTGCGGAACTTTTTTTCACAAAATGCACAAGGCGCAAAATATCGAAAATGAGGTTCGTCTGGGAAAGAGCAAATTACGAGTTTCCGTCATGTGCAAAACTATTTTTCCGTTCTGCTCGTGTGCGGACTCTGCCCGCACCCGAAAATCCTCGCCAAATGTATGCACATGTGTCCCCTTGCTGCGTTTTTTTTTGTGACCCCCAATAGACCGTCCTAGTCGAAGAGGTTGTCCGAGATTTTGATAAGAATGAAGTTTTCGAGGAGATAACCGCCAAGTTTACCTGGGAACAAGGTACAAAAAGGAAATGGCACAAGGGCATTTTTCAGTTTGCATATGGGAGCTACGCATGGAAGCTACGCTTTGGAGATCCATGTTGAGCCAGTTGTGTGCCCCCGCATTTGGACCTCTCTACATGCGGTGCTCAATTTCCCCCGCTTTTACAGATGTTGAGCGGTCATGGAACCTGCTGGTGGAGAACAACGGTATTCTGCAGCACGTCAGTCAAGAAAACTATGAAGAAAAATGTAAACAAAAATATAAGAAGAGTCAAATCTGCGCTCTGAGGAAAGGGATATTTAGGTTCGTGCTACGTGGGTATGCAGGTTTTTTTTTGTTACATGTACCACAGATTGATGGGATTAAGCTTCTAGTTTGGCGTAAGCATGTCACAGATGTGTTTCCCCCGAGGTATATACGTATAGGTGTACCATTTCTATATATATGTGTGCATGCGTTCATTGTGCATCCCCCCCGCGAACAGGCATATCATCATCTTGTTCGACATGTCCAGCAGCATGAAGGACAGGGACTTCAAGCCTGACCGGATAAATGTCGTCCTCGAGTGTGTGGAGGTAAAACGGACACAGGGATCATATGGGATGGGCGGAACCCTGTATGTGTTCTCCACGCGGCATGGTGTGCATATGAGCATCCGCACATGAACACTATGGGGATGACATAATTGTACTGTCTCATGTGTCATGTGTCACATTTCCCCTTAATCCCACTTTTGTTTTCCCCCCACCCTGGAAGAACTTCCTGACGAACTTCTTCTTCAAGAATCCGGTAGGGCATGTCGGAGTGGTGGCCCTGAAAAACAGCTGCGCAAAATTAATGCAGCCGCTGACTTCCAACATGGACGACATTATGGACGCACTGCGCAAAGAGAGAAGTATGGGTCTCCAGGGATCCCCCTCGCTACAGCAGGGACTCGAAATTGCACACGACTTATTGATAGACGTCCCACTCTACGGAACGAAAGAAATTCTAATCATATATGGGTCGATAAGAACATGCGATAAGAAGAATATTCTGAACATTCTAAACCTAATAGTAAAAAATAACATTCATGTGAACTGCGTGTCCATTGCTCCAGAAATGCACATACTTAAACATATCTGTGAAGAGACAAATGGAGCTTACAAGATATGCATGACGAAAAACTCACTCATGAACGAAATGAATAATGTCACGGAGACACCACTGTGGATGATTGGAATGGAACCGCAGCTTATTCATATATGCTTTCCTATAAAGAAAAAAATTAACACACAGATCATGTGTTCCTGTCACAATCATTTAAACACCGATACATATATTTGTAACGTTTGCAACAGTTACACTTGTAAGATACCATCCAAGTGTAAGGTGTGTGGGGTGCATTTAATTTCGATGCATGACTTGTCCCACATTACGAACAATCTTCAGGGATCCCCACTTTTTGTTGAAAATAAGAACGAGGAGAATGGGCCCAGCGTGTGCGTTTCGTGCAATAAGCAGCTCTACGATAAAGTGTCCCAGTGCTCAAAGTGCAAACATATTTTCTGCCTCGGCTGCGACTTGTATATTCATGAAGACTTGAACCAGTGTCCCTTTTGCTTGATCCTCGATACGTGATTTGTGCATACAGGCGGTATACTGGCGCAACGGAGGAGCCACGCGGGTAGCCCTGGTCTCTAATGGATGGAGCCAACTTTGTGCAGACGCAAGCGACGTAATAAGCTGTGCCGGTGTGTTCTTGGCACCTCAACAATGAAATCGACGAGCTTCTGCCCAATGCATGCCAAATGTGAAAGGATGGTACAGTTTATATTATTATGACATTTATACGCGCTGTGTACTAGTGTCTAATGATAAACACTAGGTGCCTTAGTCAATTGTTTACCAAGAGAATGCGCTCAATCGCATTATTGTATAACGGAGATGCAAAAAAATTTTTTGTGCATGTATATTTTAGCGCGACCAAGAAAAAGTTTAATGCTAACTTATGAAAGGTTTGTGTATGTAGTATTTTTTATACTTATGTAAAGAGATAAAGTTACATATTATGTCTAAAAAAATTGTTTCGTATGGCTCCCCGCCGCCCTCTAATAAAGAGCAAGGGAAGAACAAAAATGAAAAAGGAAGAAGAGAAATACAAACACAATATATTTACCATGAAGAACCTTTACAAACAGGGAAAAAAAAAAAAAAGGTGTACGATGTAACTTAAGCATAGTAACATACTATGTATAGCGCTGAAAGGGGAAAAGTAACATGTTCTTATTATGTGTCATTTCCATTTATTTAAGTACGCATTGTTTCAACCTAATATTAAAGGTGTTCTAAGAAAGTATCAACATATAAGTCCCTATCCTGTATAGTACATTCCAGCTCGCACTGTTCTATGATTAATGCAAGGATCAGTATCCATATGTTAGCGTTTAACGGTTTTGTCATATGCGGTGGCTGATGCAGTGGTTGCGACCGCGGTAAATCTCTCACGCGTAGCAAGTCTTCTGCGGCCATTACTGTTTCCACTTCTAAGTGTTGTTCCTCGCGAGGTACTTCGGCTTTTTGCGGTACTGTCTCCTCCTCTACATTATTCAACAAATGTTGAAACCACTCCTGCTCACTGTATGTACTGAGTTGCTGATGTTGTTGCGCTACCCATTGTTTCCACAAGTCCAATTTCTTGCTTTCCATGGTTGCGGCTGTCCTGTGCTCACTGGATGCGGCGTCTGTCGCATGTTGTTGATAATATTGTTTCCATTCCGATTTGAGGGCATTAAACCACGGCTGCGTCGTGCACGCCCGCACAATATGTTTGTGTTGTTCAATCCAAGGGATGCATTGGGTGCACTCCGACGTCACATGCCCGGGACCAGTAGCGGGACGCTGTGCTGCATCTAACTGTATGTTTTCCATACAACGCCATGGATCGTGGTTATCTGCGTTAGGTGGAAACGGGTCTGTTTCTAACTGTATGGATTCCATACAACTCCATGGATCGGGGTCTTGTTCATTCGGTGGACATGGGTCCGTTTCTAACTGTATGGTTTCCATACAACTCCATGGATCGGGGTCCTCTTCGTTAGGTGCAGAACGGTCCGTTGCTAACTGCATGGTTGCCATACCACTGCATGGATCGCAGTCATGTGGTGAACATGGATCTGTTCCGTCGAAGTCAGTGGATGGATCCGCGGTGGATGGAACATTGCTCCCTGGAGAACCATAGTCGGAGGTAGAAACACCCAAGATATTGTTATTCGTGTCCGTGTCCTGCTGCAAGTCGCGCGCAAACTGCTCCACGACAATCTTCCAATAGTCGTCTCTGACGTTTTCCCACTCGGCCGCTTCACATTCGTTGAGCACTTCTAAATGTAGCTCGATGATCGTGCGCGTATGCACGCGCGGTGGGCGTTGTCCGCGTCGTTCGGCAGCGGACGAAGGTGGCGTGTCCCTAACCATGGTGTACCCGTAATCGGGTGGCGGCAGGTCGCCGCGTTGTAGATGCGCCAATATTTCTTCGTCGAGTGGCGGTGACGGCACGTCACGAACGGTTCGATATGTTCGTCGTCTGTTTGTTCCGAGGTACGCAAAGTACTAAGCAGAAAAAGGGGGGTAAAGAGGAGGGTGAGGACGGTAGGATAAAAGGAATGAACGCGGGTGTAGGGGAATATTGGTTAGAACGATCATATATTGGTGCGCGTAGGGAGTTTCTGAGGTATAAACATCTTGCACATGCGGCATTCCGTGATTGTCGTATATACGTACCTTCCATAGGAAGAACGCAATGATCCCGATACCAACCACCGCGGGAATGATCGCGGGGGTGTAGGGGATGAGATCCTTGGGGTTGAATGGTTTCGACGGAGGGGGTGGGGTAGGAAGAGGTTGGTCATTAGCTCCTTTACTTGGACCACCGGAAGGAGGGGAACCACCTGCTCCACCAACTGCAGCACCTGCACCACGGCCAGTACCACCACCACTAACACCACCATTAACACCACTACTACCACCCGTACCACCACCAACTGCACCACCTGCTCCACCATCCTTTTGACCATCCTCACCTCCCTTTCCTTCCCCACCAGAAACACCATGTGCACCACCTCCTGAGGACTGGTCGGCGCCTCCGTCGTCGCCGCTACTACCGGATTGATCTGGGTTTGGGTTCGGTTTTGGTTTGGGTGGATTGAGAGGAGGGGGGTCATCGTTGCCGCCATCTACGACTTGGTCACGGGAGCTGGGGGTAGGTGGAGTGCTCTGTTGACCGCCCGTATCAGTACTCTGAGTTGTGGAAGCATCCTTATTACCACCTGGAGGTGGACTAGTTGGGGAAGGGTAGCCCGTGGTCTTAACTTCGGGGCTTGCGCTGTCACCTGCTGTACCTCCTATAGAAGAGGGACTCTGGGGTACTACTTCTTCGGCAGGCGTAGTTACTGTCGTTTCCCCCGTTGTAGAATCTTTGTGATCTGTTGCACCTGCTGGTGTACTACTCCCAACATGCTGTGGACGTTGGGTTTGGTCCTCGGATTGCGCGTTCTTATCTGCCTCGTCAACTGGCGTTGTACTACCTAAACATTCGAAAAAAGAGGACGAATATACAAGAAAGTGAATGGTTGCGATGTGATTGCCCATGGGTGACCATGCTTCGTCGGCCGCGGTCTGCACCATTGGTGCCACGGGGGCAGGCGTCGAGGCAGGGCAGTGGGGCAGGAGACGCACGTGGCAGTGCACGGCAGGCGTCGGGTGACGAGATGATGGGGACGGGAAAGCAGGAGAAGGAGGGCGGTAGGGTGCCACCCCGGGAAAAGACTCTCTCTGTCCAACTACACAACACAACACACACACAACACACACAGTGTGTGTCTCGCGACTTCTACCCGTCTACGTGTCGACGTCTACATCGCGCGGCCGATTGCGCGGCTGTCTCGGTCTGCCGCTTGCACTCTCATGCGACGTTTGGTTTCTCTGTCTCCGTGTTGTCGCTCTGTGTGTGCGGAATGTGTGGTTGTGTCTTTTATTTGTATTTGAGGTGTTCGTGCTATGTGTACCCTAGTGTACATTACCATGAGCTCTAGCATCGGGGACGTGGTTTCCTCCTCCTAAAGCTGCATCGGACGTGCAAGTTGCAGTTATAACAATACTACGGGAACGGGGTGCGCTGTGCCGCAGATTGTCCTTACACTTTTCCTCACCTGATTGTTCCGTTGGTTCCTGTGCTCCTGATTCCCCCGTTGCTCGTGTTGCTCCCGTGGATCCTGCTGCTGGTGGTGCCGCGGGGGACGCGGATGGTGGAGGTGGGGGTGGTGGTGGTGTCGTTGACGGCTGAGTTGTGTTGGAAGCGCCATCCGTTTGTTTCTTCCCGTTGTCAGTTGTCTTCTCATCCCCGGAAACAACAGTCTTCGGTGGCGCGTCCGTTGCTTCAAATAAAGAAGGGAAAGATAAGAACATAAATGATGATACACAAAAAAAGCGACACAAAGTGGTACAGAAAGAAGGGGCCAGGACGGTTCGGTCAGGTAGCGGCAGCAAGCGCACGGTGTTAGAGAGAGCGCACGTTGTTAGAAGAGGACAAAGACAGGAACAAAGGGGGGCGCACTCGGTGAACGTGGGCTAGATGGTAGCAGTACAACTTTTATTTGTCGCCGTGATCGGGGCGCGGCCGCCGGCGTGGCTCCCGTCAGGGTCGTTGCTGCATCCGTCGCCGCCGCTCCATGCCTCGCACCACTGTGACGCCGGCGCACACCACCGATACTGCCATCCTTGCCTTCTTGGACACCGCTCATCGCGTTCGCCGCTCAACGAAGTCGTTTGCTGTGCTGTGCTGTTCTCGCCGCCTGCGTGTGTTGTTGTGGTGGTGCTGGCATACGTATGCGTGCGTAGGGGGTCGTGTCTGCCGTATATTCGTACTGGGTGTCGTCGTGCTAAACGTATTCGGATTATGTGTATTCTTAGTGTTCTTATTATTCTTATCCTTACCTGCCGTTGCCGCATCGTGCTTTTCCTGAATTTTCTGGTCCACTATCTTTGTAACCTCGTCAAAAGCTGTTTTCGTCTTCGTCCTTATCTCATCCTCTGTTTTCTTCACATGAGGCAGCTGGTTGCTAATGTCCTGGTCTGTGTCTGTAACACCCTGACTTTGTTTATACGCCCTCCAATCCTGATCACAGGGCATCTGCTGCTCTATCTTTGCTATATCTCCCATTATTCCTTGGTCTACGAACCATTCTGCGATGTGTCCATTTATTAAGCCCAGCTGCGTCTTACGGCCTGCGTACCCGCATTGTGTGCATGTGCCATCCATAACAGGACCCGGTATGGCGCCTGTACCATGCGGCCCACCCTGTCCCATGGTCTTCACTGTTTTCCAGGCATACTCCACACCCCTCTTCCATCCTTGTGTTTTACAATACTGATGCTTGAGCATGTATCCAAATACATGGGCTACTTCACACCTTAACTTTTCGTACAATTCATCGTCATGCGTTTTCTGTCCGTGCTCACTATCGCCATTTTTTCCCTGCTTGTTCGCAAAGAACAGTGCTGTGCTCATAACTCTGCACCGTACGACATCTGCTACCGTTTGTCCCTTATATTGATGAGCATCGCCGAAATCATCCCAACCAGAATTGTGACAATTTTCACCGTATGCATCCATCATATCCTTTTTCTCTTCCATATAATCAGTAAATTGCTGCAATACGGTCTTCAGTCTTTCCAGTTCAGCACTCTGTATTATGTGCATGGGAATATAGGAATATGCATGACTACAGTTCATCTATATTTTACCCACCAGGAGCGTGGGCACTCTCATTTATACATTTAACTGTATGAATAGGTTTTTCTTCGTGTTCTTCCCTCTTTCCTTCACCTAAACTTACATCATAATGCTTCAGCACGTGTACGTGCCTGCTCTTGCCTTCCAATATGCTCTGCCATGGACAAGCCTCTGCTTCTCCAGCCTTCCCTTGCCCCTTCCCTCCGTCCGCACCACCAGCCTTACCACCACCACCACCAGATGGCGACGTCGGCGTCCCACTTCCCGGTGGTGATACCGGTGTCGCCCCTACTGTTTGGACAGGGCCGCGCGGATTGCCGTTAGCACCGGCCGGTTTCTCCGGTGGCTGTGATTTCTTCGGTGGATTCACTCTGTCCTTCACTGTCTTGACCCCGTTCCTTATCTTCTGCTCAAGTTCACATTTCTCCTTAGACACCCCATTTTTTTGCATGTCCTCTAGCACCTTCTTCACGTGTGGAAAGGGACCAATTGGTACCCAGCCCTTTATTTCCTTCATGAGCGCGTCGTCTTCTGTTATCACCCCTGCGTTTTCATTACATTCTTCGTCACGCTGCGGTTTCCCGTCTTCATCAGCGTCGTCTGCATCATCCCATCCACATGTCCCTGACGCTGTATACCCGCGGCCTACATGTGTTGGTGCCCATTGCTGACTCAACTGCTCTAATCGATTCTTTATGCCTGTGCCAATGCTCTTTGATTGAAATAGTATGTTCCCAAAATCTATGTTTTCGCACAATCCAGGTTCAAACTTCTGCCCGAACAAATTGTTCGATTGTCCTAACTTATCGGAAACTTCTGTTATAAGTCCCTGATGATGTGTATTACGTGCATATAGCCGTAATAAAACCTCACTGCCTAGTATGCATTCTAAATATTCCTTAAAAGTCCTCGTGGTGCCGTGCGGTATTGTCTTTTTGTCCCATGTTCCAGTTCCCTGGTTGTAATGATATCCTTTCATGTATAGCATTAAATTTACAATTTCCCTACACCTGCTTATGCATGCCCCATCCTTGTTGTATAGGTCCCCACGGAAGCCAGAGATGTTGCCGCTACGCTGCCCAATTCTGCTGAGTAACTCATGGAATATGTCATCAACCTCCTGGAGCATTCTATGCTGTGAGTGCAATAATTCATACATGTATGCATACTTGTTACTTCGGCGTACTCTTATATTTTACTGCACTGCCATATGCGTCCTGGTGCGATGCGTGCATTGTTTGTGGGTTTTGCCGGTGCCCGTCTACATACTTCACTCACTTGCAGGATACGTGTATAAACAGTGCGTGAGCGCGTGTACTTTTGCATTTGTTACGTATACATACGCCTTGCCTGCTCAAACGTATTATGGCCCCTCTGTCTCTGAACGTCCTGTATAGTTGAACTTACCCAATAACCCGTTCCGTCCGTTATCTTCCTTGTCTGTAGATAATCCTCCCATGCCCCTAGAAAGGGCAGTATGTCCGTGGCATAGCCCTCGAGCATATGGATCACGTTTTATTCCCTTCCTAGAAAAAGTACAGTACGACTACTACTACTACTACTACTGCACCGCTCTCATAACACAACAACAACAAAAAAATAATATACACACACCCCGTCTCCGTCAACGCTTATCCGTCACGCCGTCTCCGTCAACGCCCTCTCCGTGAACGCCTCTGCGTCAACGCTTGTCCGTTACACCGTGTGCGTCAACGTGTCGCGCGTCACCCCGTCTGCGTCACCCCAGTCGCCGTCACCGCGTCTCGCGTCACGCTTCTCCGTGAACGCTTGTCCGTCACCCCGTCTCCGTCAACGCTTCTCCGTCACCCCGGTCTCCGGGTCACGCTGCTCCGTCACCCCGTCTCCGGGTCACACCTTCTCCGTCAACGCCTCTCCGTGAACGCTGTCTCCGTCAAGGCCTCTCCCGTCAACGCCTCTCCGGGCCACGCGGCTACTTCGTCGAATCTTGCTTACACTCAGCCGCGTGTGCGCGGAGACAACGGTCCTCCTTGGTGCACGCGGCCGCTTTGGTCGACGCGTGTGCTCGGAGAGACAATCTCTCCTGCTTCGTGCACGCGGCCGCGTTGGTCGAAGCTCGTTTGCTCGGAGAGACAATCTCTCGTCCTTCGTGCACTCGGCGGCAATGTGCTTTAGCCGACCGCGTTTGGTCGACGCCTTTGCTCGGAGAGACAATTTCTCCTCCGTCTTACACTCGACGACAATGCTTTACCCGGCCACGTTTGCGCAGGGACACAAGCTCTCCTTATACTCGAATGCTTATTCGCATTCTATATTAGTTCTGCACTATACCCTTAGAATGCACGTGCGCAGCTTTTAATAATTAACTTCACATAAAGGAGAATTGTACCCCTTCATATTAGTCATGTAAATCTACATTTTATATGCATTTAACCGGTACCCACCTGTTCCTATGGTCATGTTAAAAGAAGTTGACTACACAGAAAAAGAACAAAACAGGGCAAAAGTAAGCACAAGTAAGCAGAACAGAGCAGAAAAAAAAACAAGAAGATATGGCATAGTACAAACCAGAAATATATTATGTATATCACGTAATGAAATAAAAGTGGTGTACGATTAGCATGCGTTATGTCGCATGCATATGCCCCGTCATGCTAATGTGAACACGTTTGCAATAGGTCATCCACATATAACTCCGTCCGCTGCAAACGACATTCGAGCTCGCACTCCTCAATGATTAATGCCAGGATCAGTATCCATATTTGAGCGGTTACCCGTTTTTTCATGTAAGTTTGCCGATGCAGGTGCGTGCGTGGAACAGCCCTGACTGTTAGCATATCTTCTGTTCCCATTGCTTTTTCCACTTCTAAGTGTGTGTCAACTGCAGGTATTTCGCCTGTTTCCGGTAATGTGTCGTCCTGTACATTATTCAACAAATGTTGAAACCACTCCTCCGCGTTATACATACGCATGTTCCGATGTTGTTTTGCAATCCATTCTTTCCATGCATCCAATTTCTTGCTTTCCATGGTTGCGGCTGTCCTGTGCTCACCGGATGCTGCGTTTGCCACCATGTGATCGCGCAGGAATTGTTTCCAATGCGCTTTTAATTGCAAAAACCATGGCTGCGTCGTGCTCTGCCGCAGAATATCTTTGTTGCGGTCAATCCAGTTAATCCAGTGGGTGCAGTCCGAAGTCGCGTCACCGTGGTCGGAAGGGCGATTTTGTTCATCGTCTAAGTGTATGTGTTCCATACAACTCCATGGATCGGGGTCCTCTTCGTTAAGTGGACAAGTGTCCGTTCCGAACTCTATCGTTTCCATACAACTCCAAGGATCGGGGTCATCTTCGTTAGGTGGAGAACGGTGCGTTTGTAATTGTATAGTGTCCATGCAACTCCATGCATCCGTTCCGTCGCAGTCAGTGGACGAAACATTGCTCCCTGATAAACCCTGCTTTGTGGTAGAAACACCCAAGATATTGTTATTCGTGTCCTCGTCCTGCTGCAAGTCGGGCGCAAACGGCTGCGCAAACTCTTCAACGAGTATTTGCAAATAGTCGTCTTTGACGTTGTCCCACTCGGTCGCTTCACAGTCGTGGAGCACTTCTAGATGTAGCTCGATGATCGTGCGCTTATGCACGCGTGGTGGGCGTGTTCTACCGGATGTTGACGCAGGTTGCCTATCCCTAATCAAGGTGTACCCGTAATCGGGTGGTGGTAGTTCGCCGCGTTGTAAATGGTCGAGTATGTCTTCGTCGAGTGGCGGTGACGGCACGTCACGCACGGTTCGATATGTTCGTCGTCGTTGTTTTCCGAGGTACGCAAAGTACTAAGCAGAAAAAGGGGGGTAAAGAGGAGGGTGGGCACGGTAGGATAAAAGGAATGAACGCGGGTGTAGGGGCATATTGATTAGAACGATCATATATTGGTGCCCGTAGGGATGTGCTGCGGTATAAACATCTTGCACATGCGGCATTCTCTGAATGCCGTATATACGTACCTTCCAAAGGGAATAACCAAGAAGGGCAACGGTGACGGCGGACAGAAAGAAGAGTACGGGAGTAGTGGCGGTAAGGACGGTGTTCGTTAGGTCGGGAACATCTGGGGTCACTTCCTCGGGACCTTGGTTATTATTCGAAGAACGGGATTTATCTTCCGTTAAGTTGGGTGGTACAATTGCTCCTCCTAAATTCACTGAGCCCGATAGATCGTTTAATGATAGTTTAAGATCGCACTTTCCATTAGTATCAGCGGAAGTGCAGGGGTAAGGTTTATATTCATTCGAGTTGGTACCCCCCACCCCAGTTGTTGGGGAGGCAGGAACCTTACCAAAGGGCTTAGGTATATCAGTACCAGGGCCGAAATCTTCAATGTGCCAACCGGTCTTACGAAGGATCACAGCTTTACCAAGGGAACTGGACCCATCTTCCATATTTCCGGCGGAAACACTTGCGGGCTCGAGACCACCAACGTTACCACGTGTCGGGGAGGAAGCATCTGCATCTGGAGCTTTACTTATTTCATCTTGTGTGCTTTTCTTTCCTTTACTGGAACGCGTGTCCGAATCGGCAGAGTTGTCATCAATACTCTTCGTATCATTCCTAACATCATTAGCTATAAGTTCAAAGTGAAGGGTAATGGAGAATGTGATGAAACTGAAGTTTTGCAGGTGGTTGTGGGATGATCGCTGATGGTCGGCACCATGGATGCATGGTGCCACAGTGCGAACGGTGGTTGGCAGGTGCCACCCCGGGAAAAGACTCTCTCTCTGTCCCACACAACACACAACACACAACACACAACACACACAGTGTGGGTGTCGACGTCTACGTCGACGTCTACATCCCGCGGCCGACCCATCACTCTACCGCTCTGCGTCCCGCTCATTCTCATTCAACGTTTGGTCTCGCTCTCCCTCTCTGTCTCCGGAATATTGTTGTTTCTTTTTTTCTTTCCTCTTGTATGTCTATTGAAGGGTTCTTTTGTATGTGTACTCTCGAAATTCGTTACCGGTGGCAATAGCATCTTTGACTTTTTGTCCTCCGCCTAAATCTTCATCGGAAGTGCAAGTTGCAGTTATAACAACACTGCCGGTGGTGAGTGGATGGTTATGCAGATTCGCCTTACACTTTTCCTCACCTGATCTTTCCGTTAGTTCCTTGGGTGTTGCCGCCTCATTATCTGCGGGTTTGGCGCTGCCAACTGCAGTATCTGTATTACCCGTTTCGGACTGTCCCGGTGCTTGTGATGTTTTTGTTGATGATGATGATCCCGATGATGATGTTGGTGGCGCTGGGGTCTCTTCCGTCTTCGCCGGTGATGGTCCGTGTTGTTGTGGAGTTTTCGAAGAGGAGTCCTCCTTGCTCACTTCCTCTTCCAATATGTCCTGTATACTTTTAGTTCTCCCTGAGGTTTGCATTTTCTTCTTTAATTCTTTCACTGTCTTCGTCATGTCCTCGCCCACGGCGCCCATTGCATCCGTTATTGTGGTCTTCATCTGTTCTAGTGCTACCTGTTCTGGCTGTCCCGCGCGTGCACTTATATTTACTGTACAGGCCTGCCCCAATACTCCTACATGACCATCATTCAATCTTGTAGTATTTCTCGTAAACCACCTACCCATTATGTCCAACAATGTCCAATCTTCCGGCCTCTTGCTCCTGTCACCCCCTGGTGCTGCATCCTCCTTCTCACATGTAGAATTACGTTCCGCTGTGCCCGGCGTATCCACGAAGTCCTGCGCAGCCGTAAATGCCAGTTGCCCGCCTGCGGTCTGTACACACGTCTCTCCCAGTATCCTTTTCATAAATATATTTACTAAAATACATCTCATATAAGGTTCCACAGTATCTCCCATGTCCGCCATATCCGTTGCGCCCTGACTGGGCACACTTAATGGGATTCTATGTTTGAAGTATAGGGCTTTAAGTGCTAACTGGCATAGAGCCTTATTTTGTTCGTCGAGTTCCTCAGCATCCTCCTTATCGTGCGGCTGTTCGCACAATGTCCCCAATAGTCCATCCTCGTCCTCCTGCGCCATATGTTCCCTAAACTTCGTCCATACTCTTTCCACATTACTCCAAAAAGGTTCCTACAAGTATAACGTTTACTATGTGTTTTCATATAAACTATGTGTCATATATAACTCTCCGTTACCATATAATTCAATACATAATTATTCAGTCCGCGCTATATATATTTTCCCCGTGCATAGAATTCTTCATGGGCAGCGTTCTGGAAGTGTACACCTGAGGTTTACCGTAAATCCCAATTCTATTCTAATGTACTCGTGTCACCCTATTTGGCATTCGCATTATTGTTGTACACAAATCAACTTACACTAAATATTTTGTCATCCTGCCTCACTCCCGTTTTCCCCGGCTCAATATAATCCTCCCATAGTACTAACAAATAATCCCACATTGCTTGCTCACTTTTATGCGTTTTATATAAGATGCAACTCTCCTTGATGCTGTTTCAAAGTTCACAAGAACATAACATTAGCCTTCGGAATCATATTCCTCTAATGGGAACTTCTACCGATACATAGTGAGCACATTCCCCCCTGTTCACTAATATCCTTAACCACAAATACCCCCTTGTTCTACACTAAAACCGCAGTATAACGACAACATCAATTTCTTCTGCCGTCGTTGCTACCGCTGTTGGCGACTCTGTTCGCCCTCCCACAAAATGTGTGTTCCTGCGTCCCCGTCCCCCGCTCTGTGCTCCGGCTGTGGATGCTGCCCTCGAAAACTGCTCACTCGGCTACAATGCGGTGTACGCGGACAATCCCGTTTACCCGGCCGCGTTGGTCGATGCGTTGCTCGGAGAGACAATGTCCTCCTCCTTTCTTACACTCGAACAATCCTTCGTCGAATCCGTCTTACACTCGGCCGCATTACGCGCACAATGGCCTTTACGCGGCCACGTTTGCTCGACGCGTTTGCTCGGAGAGACAATCCTCCTGCTGTCTTACACGCGGCCACGTTTGCTCGGAGAGACAATCGTCCTCCTTCTTACACTCGGTCGCGTTGGTCGACGCGTTTGCTCGGAGAGACAATGTCTCCCTCCGTTCTTACACTCGGCTACGTCGTGTAATCCGTGTTGCACGCGGAGCGAGCCGTATACCCGGCCACGGTTGCTCGGAGAGACAATCCTCCTCCTTCTTACACGCGGCCTGTGGCGCTCGGAGACAAGCACCTTATACTCGAATGATTATTCGCATTCTATATTTGTTCTGCACTATACCATTAGAATGCACTTGCTCAGCTTTTAATAATTAACTTCACATAAAGGAGAATACTACCCGTTCATATTATTCATGTAAATGTACATTGTATATGCTTGTAACCGGTACCACCCTGTCCCCATGGTCATGTTAAAAGAAGTGGACTACTCAGAAAAAGAACAAAACAAGGCACAAGTAAACAGAAAGAAACAGAAGTAAGCAGAAGAGAGCAGCAAAAAAAAAAAAGACGGTATAGAATAATGTAAACCAGAAATATATTAAGTATATCACATAATGAAGTAAAAGTGGTCTACCGTTAGCATGCGTTATTTCGCATGCATATGCAACGTCATGCTAATGTGAACACTGTTGCAATAGATCATCCAAATATAACTCCTTCTCCTGCATACTACTCTCGAATTCGCACTCTTCGATTACGGACGCGAGGAGTAGCATCCACAATTTGGCAATTAACCGTTTTTTCATGTAAGGTTGCGGATGCAGTTGCGGGCGTGGAACAGCCGTGACTGTTAGCATATCTTCTGCGGCCATTACTGTTTCCACTTCTAAGTCTTTTTCCAGTATATGTTCTTCGCCTTTTTCCGGTACTGTCTCCTCCTCTACATTATGCAACAAATGTTTACACCACTGCTCCTTATACATACGCATTTGCCGATGTTGTTGCGCTACCCATTCTTTCCACAACCGCAGTTTCGTGCTTTCCATGGTTGCGGCTTTCCTGTGGTCACCGGATGCTCCGGTTGCCGCCATGCGCTCACGCAGGTATTGTTTCCAATCCGCTTTTAATTGCAAAAACCACGGCTGCATCGTGCACGCGCGCAATAGATGCTTGTGACGCTCAATCCAGTTAATCCAATTAGTGTGGTCGCGGAGCGGGCATTCATTCCGCGGGGAGGAGTACGGGTCGCGTTGTGTATCTAACTGTATGGTTTCCATACAACTCCATGGATCGGGGTCATCGTGGTTGGATGCAGAAGGGTGCGTTGCTAACTGTATGGTTTCCATACAACTCCATCGGTCCTCTTCGTTAGAAGCAGAAGGGTCCGTTGCTAACGGTATAGTTTCCATGCAAGTCCATGGATCGGGGTTATCGTCGTTACGTGGACATGGATGTATGCCGTCGGAGTCACTGGGTGGATCCATGGTGAAGGAAACATGGTTCCCTGATAAACCCTGTTTTGAGGTAGGCACACCCAAGATGTTGTTATTCGTGTCCTTGTCCCGCATCAAATCCTGCGCAAACTCCTGTGCAAACTCCTCCACGACAATCTGCCAATAGTGCTCTTTGACGTTTGCCCACTCGGCTGCTTCACATTCGTGGAGCACTTCTAGATGTAGCTCGATGAGCGTGCGCTTATGCACGCGCGGGGGGCGTCCTCTACCGGATGTTGACGCAGGTCGCCTATCCCTAACCATGGTGTACCCGTAATCGGGTGGCGGCAGGTCGCCTCGTTGTAGATGTTGCAATATTTCTTCGTCGAGTGGCGGTGACGGCACGTCACGAACGGTTCGAAACTTTCGTCGTCGTTGTTTTCCGAGGTACGCAAAGTACTACAAAAACAACAAGGAAAAAAGGGCGGATGGGGTGAATGCATTTGTGTTAGAATGATCGTACAAAACATCCCGTTGGGAACACATTGCTAATGGTGCATATGACGGATATGCATATACTGTGTCGCGTATATACTTACTTTCCAAAGGGAATAACTAAGGAGGGCGAAGATGACCGAAGTGACGAAGACGAGGATGGGAGTAGTGGCGGTAAGGACGGTGTCGGTTAGGTCGGGAAAGAAGGGGCCACCGTGGACCCCACCAGGATCGTCATTCTGGGAACGGGGCCCATCTTCGGGGGCGGGTGGTACGAATCCTCCCCCTGCGTTTATTCCTTCCGGTGGTGAAGCGGGGGGAAGCCTGAGATCGCATGATGTGTGCCCGCTAAGGCCATCGGCGTCATTACACCCGAATGAACTTTTATCGTATGAAGAGAGAACAGGACGAAGTGAGCCAACAGGTTTCTGTGTTTTTGTCGTGCCCGGTTTATCCCATGGGAAATAAGTGTCCCATCCTATATCGTCCTTTGCTGAACCCCAGAAGCTATCACTTGTATTATCCTTCTGGGAACTTCCACCCACATGGACCCAGCCGGTGGGATGATCCGCCTTATCAGCTTTACTTCCACTTTCCCCTGCTCCTGTTCCTGCGGATTCCGTTGCCGGAGCGTCTGCTGATGATGGTGGCTCCGGTAATGGTGTTTGTGATGGTAATTTGCCTGCACTTGTAGGTTCTCCTGGTTTCTGTTCTCTCGATGCTGCCGGTGGTTCTGGCTCTGGCGCTGGTATACTATCTGATTTCTCCTTCCCTGAATGGACATACAGCAAAGAATGCACATGATGAGCCTGAATCTTTGTCCGTGGTTGTTGATCGCCCATGGTTGACCACACGAGCGGCCACACGATCGGCAACATTGGTGCCACCGTTGACGGCGCTTGCCCGCTGTCCGTCGCTGCATGGTTGACCACACGGTCGGCTACACGGTTCGTTGCCGTCGTTTCACGGTTGACCTCCGTGCATGGGGACGGACGGCGGGGCAGGGTGGTTACGGTGCACCCGGGAAAAGACTCTGTCTCTCTCCCACACAACACACACAACACACACAACACACACAACACACACAACACACA